CTTGCCTCAGCACAAGGTCTCCTGGAACACCAACTGTGTTGACTGAGCCAGGCTCCTAGGCATTGTTAATGTGTTTCGTGAGAAAGGTTACTCTCCCTGTAACCTTCCCTCACCCCCAGAAACGTCAGCACAACCCATACATTTCTCACTTCTCCATCTGAAAGGTGATACAGATGCTCCAACCACCTACGTATTATTCCCACAAGCATCATTTTGTAGAATCAAAAATGTGAGAGAAACATAAATATCATAGTATCTAAAAGTAAAAACTTTAAAAATTTTCATTATTTTAGATATTGGCCAGATAAAATTAAAAGAAATTGATGTAACAGCAAATTTTTTCTGTAAGCATCAGGAAGGTATCAAGACCTTTCAAACTGTGACTAGGTTTCATATAATATCAGCATAAAACAAATATGTGAAACCACTTCAAGAAAAGTCATACTCTAGCCTGAGCAGGCTCCTCATGCCTGTTATCCCAGCACTTTGGGAGGCCAAGGTGGGAGGATCTTTTGAGGCCAGGAGTTCGAGACCAGCCTGAGCAAAAGCGAGACCTCATCTCTATTGGTTTCTTTATTTACTTGCCCTGGCAATGGAGGCCTGTTTGCTGTCTATGGCAAATGTATCTTGTTCTGTAAGCCTCTATCTTGCTCTTACTCTGTAAAACTACCTTTCTCTTCCTCAATAAACTTTGTTTCATGCTTGCCTTAAAAAAAAATAAAAAAATTAGCCACATGTAATGGTACGTGCCTATAGTCCCGGCTATGGCAGAGGCTGAGGCAGGAGGATCATTAGAGCATGGGACTTTGAGGTTGTTACAAGCTGTGAGCTGTGAGGATACCATTGTACTCTGGCTTCAGTAATAGACTGAGATTCTGTCTCAAAAAAATAAATAAATAAATAAAAAGAAAGAAAAGTCATACTCCATATAATCACAGCACTAATTAATTCCCCAAAGAATTTCTCATAGAACAAGTTGCAACATGATAATTTAATCCTCCAGCCACCAGAGGATGGAAGTATACCTTCCCTCAGGCCTGTACTTGTGAGGCTCACAGCTTACCTCAGGGAGACACTGGGTCATTTGTCAAACCAATCTATCATCACAAACCAGAAAGCTTTCTAGCTCACCAAATAAATGTCTGCATCTGGAAACCAGAACATCTAGTCCTGGTTCTAGTCTTGGGGTAAACTTTGAAAGCCACAGTTTCTCTGCGCCCTACTTTTCTCATGTGTAAAATGAGCTACAGGGGCGTGACTTCAGGATCTCTTAACAGAATGGAAATTCCATAACAGAAATAAATTATCTGAGAATTTAATTGATTTCTCTCTTCCTCCTTGTTTTTTCTTTGTTTATTTGGTTGGTAGGCTCATATAGAGCTATTTATCTTGAAAAGTAGTGCATACTTCTCTGGGATGAGAGGCATTTCTTCTTTGTGGAATTTTCCCACAGTGTGACTTTCCTTCTCTTTTCATTTGCCACTAAGAGGTGGGTCTCGCTGATTCTTCTTGGTTCATTAAGAAACAGAAAGATCCTGTGTTTCAAGAGACTCTTTCTGGATCATTTCCCAAGATCACAGGGCTTTGCAATCCATTTGGCAAAGGTGATGGTGACCATGGGGTGTTTGGCAAAGCGGATGAGGTAGTGGCTAGAGTTAAGAAAAATGCTTTTGGCAAAACATCGTGAAACAAAGGTGGAATGTTCAAAATGGAGAACGTGCATCCCTTGCTGAGATGACTCTGAGAAAAACTCAGTCTTTAAAGAGGTGATTTATTTAATAGGAGACAAAGAAAAAGTTATCAACAGCAATAATTTTTCTAAGCATTCAGCTGAGAAATAGCTAATCTAATACTTTGACTGTAGCCATGTACTGGGACGTGTTTGAACAATATAGAAATTATATTAAAATAGGCAGGCAGGTATTTTGAAATCAGTCATTAAAATTAAAAGTTACTGGAACATATTCTGCTTAGTAAAGTATCTCAAGAATGGAAGAAAAAGTATCCAATGTACTCAGTGTTATTATGAAACCAATATATAATCACCCACACTTTCATATGAAAGATAAAACACAACTACAGACTAGGATGGAGGAGGGAAGAGGAAGGTGAGGGGAGGAGGAGGTTGGATGGAGAGAGGGTAATCAGTAGGACCTCACCTATGGTGCATACTAAATCTATTAAGTGTAGAGTATAAATGTCTTAACACAATAATTAAGTAAGTGAGGTAAAGGCTACGTTAACCAGTTTGATGTAAGCACTCCAAATTGTATATAAAATCACATCGTACCCCATAAATGCATTAATGTATACAGTTATGATTTAATGAAAAATTAAAAAATTACATTTAAGATTCTCTATTAGTCACTAGATATTAGACAAGAATCTAACCTTGCATTCTACAAACCCACCCCCAAATCAATTTAGGTCTGAATAAAGCCTCAGGGCTAAGAGGTTATTTTTACCAAGTCAGCCCTACTCCACTTCCACCCCCAAAATATCTAAAGATGAACGTGTGGGGACTAAGGTAATGTCTAAATAAACCAAGTGTTAATCTTTATGTCAGTTCTCTAAAATAGTTGTTAAAATTCCTTTGATGTTGGTGGTCATCAGATTTCATAGAAACCTCAGGGACTAGGCTTTCATCACTTAGCCAGGTGGTTGTGTGTGTGTACTTTGGTTTGGTTTGGGGTTTTTTTGCTACCAGTGCTACCAGGTTTAATGACTATTCGTGGAACACCAGGGACCTTTGCCGGGAAACCACCTGGGGTAGGAAAAGTAGAAGGAACCAGTAAGTGGTTGAGAGCTCAGGACAGGTTTCTGAAGGGAGGAGAGGTAATAATATCACATGACTAAATCTTTGCAAGCTAGAAACGTTTCAGAATAATAATTGCAAGGTCATTTTGTTTACAAATGTTTGTCAAGTCCTTAGTGGTGGTATCACCTCAGACCAAACGAGATGATAAAAAGAGAGAAGGAAGACTTGAAGTTTGTGTTTGGGGTGTTTTCCAGGCACTTGGAGTTAACCAAACAAGTCAGTTCTATGAGGTCTCAGATACTACTAGCACTAAAGGTCCTTATATAATCTTACACAGGAGTATTTAAGTTATCCTTTTATTTTCCTGATTTTTAAAGAACACAGACATTCACCTTACTTGGTAGACATCTAAATTATAAAGAAAATGAAACTAGTATTCTTATTTATAGTTGACAAGCATTTATCCTTTCCCTGTGGTGGCATGGAAGGGTTGAGCTGTCTTGTAGCATACGTGAGCCTTGCTTAAGAGGTTGGGTAGATGGAGAAGGAAGGGGAAGAAGTAGCTTTCACTCCCCAAAAGTCTTCATTGGCCTACTAGCTTGGGCTGTAATAAAAGCCATTTCACCTTGCTCTATACTTTATGTAGATTTTATATACATCTATATATATTTTATATATGAGTATGTGTGTATATTCTTTCCAAAATATGAGTATGTGTATGTAATATATCCAAAATTATTCACCTGAGTGTATTGTTGAAGATATCTAAAAAAGAAAATTGTCGGCTCAGCACCTATAGCTCAACTGGCTAAGGCGCCAGCCATGTACACCTAGGGTGGCGGGTTCGAGTCCCCAGCCCGGACCCGCCAAACAACAATGATGGCTGCAACCAAAAAAAAATGGCCGGGCGTTGTGGCGGGCG